GCGCTTCTGTACTGGTGACACATCTGCAGCTGTCTGGAGATATTTTATCTACTGCAGACCTGTTCTCAGGACAAACCAAGAGAACGGCCATGCATATGACACAGGATACCATATGCTCTCTAAACATTTAAACCTGAAGGGGCCTTTTATAATTTAATCTACACAAGGAATGAAGAAATTACAGATTACAGATGCAACTGTGTTTCTTTAAAGGTATACACAATCTTCTGTAAACATTGCCCTTGATTAGATTTAGAAACAGCTTCATCTGCATGGATGGCAAAATCCTCCTGCGCTGACAACAGTTTTCTGTTAAAATCCCACCACGTCTGAGGCAGGCTGACGTCTTTCATGCTCCCAGGTGACCCTCCTTACCTGTAGACGTGGTCTTCCTCGCTGTGGAGAGGCGGGGAACTGGCGCTGTCCCGAGACGCCGGGGGCACACTCTTCACTGTGCTGATGGTCTGTGGGGACACAGGAGAGAGTCAGAGGGGGACGGGGGGGGCAGGGGGGCGCAGTGAGGTCAGGGCTGAGTACAGGGCACAACGCCTTCCTCCAGGCCACTGCAGTGTGCCCCTCACAAGTTCTGGTCCGGCCCCAGCGGGCAGCTCTGAGCTCTTGACCTGCGCAGCCCAGACAAGCCCCAGTCAAACCCTCTGCGCCGAAAGGCCAGGCCCCTCGCCACTGGGAGGCCTGGCGAGTGATGTCACTGCGACGGCGCCCTGTCACACTGCAGGAGGGAACACCACAGACACACGTCCGGATTTGTACACAAAACATTCACACAGAGAAAAATCAACAACCCTGTTCCAACAAAAAACAGAGGAGCTGTCCGGTTTTCCAATGGAACCTCCCCACCTGTGTAACCAAGATCAGCATCTGCATCAGGCCCTGCATGAAGGCCGACGCCAAGCAACCAGATAAAGCGTCTGCTGTGCCTCCGAGGGCACGCCCTGGGCATCGGTGGAGCCCCACAGAGCGCAGGGCTCCGCGACGTTTATCGGGGATGTTTAAATAAAATCGACTGACCTGCGGCGGGGAGTAGCGGGAGGGGGGAGGCGGCGCGGACCAGCCGTCGAGAGGGTCGAGCACGGCCCCGTTGAGCGCCTCGGCCGAGGGCGGGGGGGGCACGGGCGGGGCGACGTCCTGGTAGGTGTGCCCGCCGGTCGGGTAGGAGTAAGGCGTCTCCTCGGGCAGGAACACGGGCCGCTTGGAGATGTGCGAGGTCGTGGACTCGAGGTCGGCGAGCAGAGCGTCTGTCGGGAGAGGAGGAGGAGGAGGAGATGGTGAGTCTCTCCAGAGGCCGGACCGCCCAGTGACAGGACCCCCAGCCACAGAGCCCTCCAGCTGAGCGCTCGCTTAGCCCATCAGACTCAGACAGGCTGACCTGTTCCCAGACCAGATTAGAGCTCCCTACCAAAATCTCAAGATTTGTTTCCTTCCAGGATTAGCGTTGCAGACGTCTGTCTCACACACACACACACTTCCACCCCTGGAGATCCCGCACAGGAGCCCAGTCGCAGGCAGAACCAAGCACGGATCAGATTCCCAAGCTCCGAGCACACACACACACACGCCTTGCAATGACAACAAGCCTCCTATTCTCTTTAATAAGACACCAGCTGGCAGGAAAGCATTTAGCTACAGAGCCCCTAGTTTATGGAACAGTCTGCCAGCCCATATGCGGGATGCCGAGTCAATCTCAGTATTTAAATCCAGACTGAAGACCTATTACTTCAGCCTAGCCTACTCACACCTTACATTATAGCCTGCTGCAACCATGGCTGCTGGGGCTGCTGTACATGCCATTGTGTGTCTCTGTGTTGGCCCACCAGGTAGATACATCTGTTCTGACCAAACTATCCTATTCTCCTCCCCACATGTCCGGATGGTGCCCGGGCTGGGCACCATCTGAGTTGGATGCTGCATCACTGCCATGATGACTGCCATGGATCCAAGAGGGACACAGCGAATACAGCATTCATTTAGGAGGATTTGCTGGTCTACAGAGAACTGTATGGAGTGCTGGCACACAGAAGTATACGATGAAAGACTTATTACTCCACATTTAGCACTTTTTCAGTATGTTATAATGATAGCATGCCCAAAGGGGTTGGGCAGCTAGTTGAACTTGGACCCCCAGAGGTTTCTTTTCTCCTTACAGAGGGGTTTTTGGTTCTTCTCCTCCGTTGTCTTTTTCCCTTTCTGGAGTGTCCTGTACTGTCACACGGCTCTGGTTAAGTGACTCGGGGCAACCTTGTTGTGAAAGGCGCTATATAAAAATAAATTGAATTCTCTCCCAGGGCAATGAAACTCCCGGTGCTCAAGAGTTTGAGCCACTTCGGGTCTTACAGGCTGCTGGCATTTCTGAATCACCTGCCAATTGTTTTACACAAGCCTGCACGCTTATTTCCCAGACGTGCAAAGGTTTCCTCGCACTCCAGTGACATGCACCAGATCTGCTTCCTGCACCGATCTCGCGCCCTGGGGTGCTGGAGCCCTGGCAGAGACCCAGGGCAGAGGCCCGCCCTCGCTTACACACAGACACACACAAGACACCGCAGAACAGGTCATAGCTTGAGGACAGGAATTCTTACAGGAGGGGCCGACACAACCTGCCTCTTCCCCTGTCGCTGCTCAGCTCACCAGCGCCGCGCCCCCCCCACAACCCCCCGTTTCCTGCTCAACTCCGTGGTTACCATCTCTGGAACAACACAAACAGACAGCTTTCTGCCAGTCCACAGATTACTGCCCAGAGCCTGCCCACGCCCAGCTCCTTCGGTATTTAACACAGCTCTGCTCTTCTGCGCGAGCGGGCCGACTCCTTTGAGCCCCAGGAACGCAGCACGAGGGCTTTAAAGGCGCGTCTGAAACGCCGGAGCCACCCTCCCCTGCCAGCCAGCGCTCGCTCTCGGCTTGCTGCAGGCCCGAGGGCAGCGCGGTCAGGTGTCGCAGCCGGGACCGAGGACAGAGCTGTGTCCAGTGGGTCTGCCCCAGGCCTCCCTCTGCGCTGCCAGGCCGGGTCAGCCCTGGGGACCTAACTTAAGCCCAGCGCAGGGAACCCAAAACCCCACAACAGCTCTCGGAGCAGCCCCACGATAACCAGGCATGCAAGGATGAGATTAGCATCACTCTCATGCACATGACACCGATAGATGTGTAGATGCAGCACACAGGGAAATTCCGCCATCAAAACGATCTGATTGAAAGACAAGCTACACCACAGTGCTACTCTGAACCCGTGCGTGCACGCGCCTAGCAGTGTCTACTAACACGCTACAGCCCAGCAGGGTCGCACGCGTGTGGAACTTCAAGCTCCTTTCTGCAGGAGTGGGAGAGAAACTGCGGTGCTCAGCAGCTCGGCCGATTCTCCCCTGTACCACCAACAGCACTCAAACACAGACCCACAGACGGACCTCCCTCTTCACAGCACCAGTATCAAAGGACGAAGAGACCCTCTATCCAGAGGGCTGGCTGGCTGGCTGTGGCCCTTGAATCCAGCTGCTCAGTTCTTCCGGATCAGAGAAAACGATTCCCGGTTCAACAGCAGGAATTCCGTTACAGATTGTAAAAGGTCCGAGTGCGGCCGCGACTTTCGAACAAGACGCAATTAAAATAGCTGCCAGCCATTTACAATTTAAATAAAGGCTTTAAAAAAAAAACTGCTGCGTTGAATTTTGCCTCCCCCATTTGAGGGCCTCATCCCAAAAAAACTTGCCTTGGGAAATAAGCCGTGCACAGAAGGAAAAAGAAGAGGATGCAAGAGCCCAGCCCCTGGGGAGACCTCAGCCCCCTGTGCCCGGGCGATGCCAGGGGGCACGAGCCAGCCTGTTATCAGGCTGATGAGACTCCGACAGCACAGGGACAACTCATTACACAACACCAGTCCGTCGCCCAGCAACGACCCCGGCCCCAGTACCCCCCCAGTCCAGAAAAGGGCCGCTGCGTGGGACAGCCCCCAGGCACAGCCACGCGAGAGGAACTCGTACCCCACTAACAGCCCCCCGGGCTGCTCAGCGTAAGCCGAGCGCAGCCCCCAGGACAGAGTCTTATTCCGAGGGGACGGGCTGAAAACCAGCCTGTCCGCCGACCGCCTGTCCGAGCCCTGCGCCAGGCGGCATTCCTCACTGCTGCTGCTCTGACACAATATTGAGTTTCAAACTGGGGATAATTGACTTTAAATGAAAGCTCTGTGTCTCCACTTTCACATGCATTTGGTTTAAACCTAGTAATATGCGCCGTTTCGGGGATATGAAT